TATTTCGCCTAAATACATAACCATAATACAATATGTAAAAACATAAAAATCAAAGCTAAACAAACACACATTGTAACAACCTTTAATAACCTTATACACAAACTATAAGGTCGTAACACCACATACTCACACCGAAAAATAACAACTCCTATTCAAAGAAAATAAAAGAATAAAACGATATTGATATAATATGATCTACGAAAAATACAAAAATAAGAGAAACGAAACAGAAAAGTAACACGATGTAAAATAACACAAGTCAAAATAATAAAAAATACCAATCTGACAAAGAAAAAAACATAATTGAAGGACTCAATGCATTCAAATAAGTAACGAACAAATTGACAGTATAAAACTCAAAATAAATTAACACATATAAAAATTGTAGAATACACTGAAACGTAAATACTTACTAACAATACTAACTCTCACAAACATACTACTAGATAAAGAAGTATAATATATAAAAACAAAAATTATGAAAGGTAAAATAGGTATATAAGCAAATGAAAACATAAGAAGGGTATAATTCGGTATAATAAAAACACCGATATATTTTAGATAAACATGGTTACACAGTTGATACTAGAAAGAATGAATGACTATAAGTCAATAAAAATAATATCGTAAATATAATAATCTACATAAATATACTATAATGAAAAAAATAGTAATTATAAAAAAGTAAAACACAACACAAGTAACCAAATCGATGAATAGAGAATAAACAACAACAATGACACAATAAAAGATATAAATATCTAAAAATATCATAAAATAAATACTGAAAATAACACGCGTATACAATGTATATTGTCACAATGATAAAATAATATATATTGAAAACAAAGCAAACAACAACAAATATGCAAATACACTATAAACAAACAATGAATAAAAACTATACATACCCACATACGCATATTAAAATTACCTCTTATTTTAATTATAAAAGGATAATAATTAATGATACGAGATAATGTAACAACATAGATAATTAATAACTCAACCCCAACCTAATAATATGAATAAATGTTTGAATATCAAAACATAAAAACATTACTATTAGAAATAACGAAACCAATTGTGAACATACTAAAATAATCTAACAAGGCAAAACTGACTGATAGAAAACTATATATTGAAAATGTATAAGTAATGATATATATTTTTAATGAAAAACACACAATATAACAATGTGTATGATATATAAAATAATATAATAAATAATGCAAAAATCAATACAATCAACGATATATAAGTCAAATCAAAGAAAATTAGTTGTAAAAATAATAACATATAAAATAATGACCGATACGAGGAAGATGAATTATAGGAAGAGAGCGTGTAATCGCGAAGCGATGAGACAAGAACCGAGGGAAACTCCGGAGTCAAAGAGTGATAAGATAGGGATGAAACGAAATCTATTAAGAAAATAGGATAAGGGCTCAAGAATAGTCTCACAGATGAAATACGATATGTATCTAAATTATCCATTATATTCTCACTGGTAGGACTCAGGACTGTGATCGGAACCGGGACCTGCATGGGCCACTACTAAAACCTATCACGCCCCACTTCCCAAAATACCCGAGAATCGGAACGTGAACAAGCCCGCGACGTATTAGATTGAGAAGAAATATACGTTATTATTTTTTTCTCTTTTCTCTTTTCTTCTCAATCCAATACGCTAAGCGTCTGGAAAAATACAATGCGAAGTCACAGGTCCCCGATCACAATCAGCAAGAATATAATAGACAGACTCAGAATAAAATAATACATATTACAGATGAATATCATCCAAGACAGAAAAATACAGGTCAACATGCCCTTATACAAAAACTATCTGAAAGAATTGCTAGAAAATATAAAATACATCAATCAACAGAATGGAAGGTGCTACAAAAGTAAACTAAGGACCAACAGCTGATAAAAGAAATAACTAGACGTCGGCTTGTCTGCTTGGTCTACAAAGCACTCCTACGGGGGATCCTCTGGCTCCTGATGTTCTCCCAGCTGAACCTGTTCTTCCTCTAAGTCTGACGTACACCAGAGAAAACAGGTGTACGTCAGGGTGCATGGCACTCGGCAAGACCTCACAAAGAAAATAGGACAAACGAAAACCAAAGCGAGAAATGATACGATAACAGAAATGACAAAAAAACGTGCAACTGGAAATCCAACAAAATCAACATACAAATTCACTACTAAAACATGATAGACATAAGCATCCAAAATCGATCAGGTAACGAGATCATGCAGCTAGCGATCAGAATAATCATCCAAGTCACAAGGTTATACCATAGATGAAATTAATACTTAAAAATCTACAACTCGAGACGTAGTACGTCGAACGAAATAATCCAAACAAGGAAACCCTCATGTATATACCATATGTCTCAAATTATAGATAATTAAATATTAATCCCGATCTATGTGTGAAAAGAAACTGTCCTACATCTCACAATAATCCATACCTAGCCAAACATCAAAGATCATATACTAGCCATTCTATAACAGGTCACTGGTCACATCTCACACAGAGTCAACACTCATATCATCGGATAAATGACTGTTCACAAATCCCCTACGTGCATCCAATCCCGCGAAACAGGCAGCTAGAGGACTACACGCAAAGCTCAGGTGACGAAACAGGTCACGGATCAAAGTGACAAAACAGGCCACTTTGTCCAACAAACTAACCCCAAGACAAAACAGGTCACTGGTGCGAGTCTAGAAGATACATCAACAACCACATCCGATCACATGAACATTAACTTTCTCATCCCAACTCTTCTCGTTTTTCTAAGTCAACCATAATCCTCATTGAAACTCGGGTTCACCACCTAAACTCAGTCAACACACCCACACATGTCACTAGGTCTGTTCATGACGCATGAGGCCACTAAGTCATGAACTACTAAGGGTTCTCAACACAACATGGACAATCAATTCAGAAAATAATTCCTTTTCCAAAATAGATTCTTTTAAAGTTATCATAAATTTTCCTCAAATGATTACGTTCTCAAATAAATTCTTTTTATTAATATATTTATCCAAAAATGATTCGGCTACCGAAATAAATTCTTTTAATTTATCTTAATTATTCTAAAAATACTATTTATCATAATATTGTGATTTACTTAATATTATTCACCAAAGAATTCCATGCAGATAACTATATCACAAACTAAAATATGCAAAAATTCATAACTTCATTAACAAGCCCACGCAGATAATTATATCAGTCTAAAAATACTTGATAAAATACAAGATGAGCAAGGGATCTTGCCTACGAGACCGTGAGGGCGGCTCGAGGAAGAAGAAGGAGGGCCGGTGGTTGAGCTTGGATCTGAGGATGGTCGTGGCCGGTTGGAGAGCTGGAGGAGGACGGGGGCGTCACTGAGTTCGGGAGAGCTGGTCAGATCTCGGCGTGGTCGGAGCTCATCGGAGGGGCTGGCGGCGGTGCAGCGTGGAAGGCGGCGCGGGGTCGAGCTCAGGCTGAGGCGGGCTTGTTCTGGTCGGGCGCGATGACGTCGAGCTGGGGCGTCGGAGCTCAGTGGGGCGACGTGGACAGCAGGCTAGGGGTCGTGTCGTCGGCGTTGGAGGAAGTAGTGAGGCGGCGCGCGAACTGGACGATCTGGATGGCGGTCGTCGGAGTGTTGGTAGCGGTGGCAAACGGGGGTTGCGGAGGCTGCAGGAGGCGACGGCAATGTAGAGGCGTAGGGTGGTAGGTCAAGGCTGGGCTGAGCTCGCGGTGGTCGAGGGGAGGAGCCGGTGGCCATGGGGGGCTGGAGCTCGTTGTTGAGGAGTTAATGGTCGGTGATGGGCGTCGGAGCTCGACGGAAGACGGAGATTGCGGTGGCTCTGCGGAGGACGGAGGCTTTGATGGCTGAGCTCAAAGTTGAGGAGGTAGAGGAGAGATGAAGTGGAGATAGTTTATGTAGAGGAGAGAGAGAGAAGAGAGAAGAGAGAGAGAGAGAGAGAGAGAGAAGAGAGAGAGAGAGAGAGATTCATGAGTGAGAGAGAGAGAGAGAAGAAATGAGAGTGACAGGGGGACAGAGTGAGTGAGCGAGCTGTGAGAGCATTTTGGGAAATGGAGGAGAGAGAGAAATGAGAGTGAGAGAGAGTGAGCTGAGGAAAATAATTGAAGAGAGAGAGATTGGGTGAGAGCAAGTGCAGCAAGCTCCCAGTTGGGAGTCCTAGTCAGCAAGCTCTCAAGAGCTCTCAACCTTTTTGGAATAAAAAATAAAAAAAGTAAGTCTTGGGAGGCACTCATTCTTTTATGGAGCTCCAAGAAGCTCCTAGTTAGGAGGTCCAACAATATCAAAAAAACCCCTCTTCTATTTTAATATTTTACCCATTACTTTTAATTATATTTAAACCTCTTGTATTTTATTTCTAACCGTTGGATACGGCCTTCGAGGGAGCGCACACGGTCTTCGAGGCAACCCACGGTCTTCGAAGGAGCACACACGGTCTTCGAGGTAACCCGCGGCTTTTGAGGGAACGCACACGGTCTTCGAGGTAACCCGTGGTCTTCAATGTTGGGCACGAAGTTCGAGGTATCGCAAACTTTGACCGTCAACCGACTAATGCCTATAAAATTCGACGGCTTCTCTCCTCAACTCATCATCTTCCAGAATAAAATATCTAGCTCATCTAGCTCTAGCGATGATGAAATGATGAAGAAGCTCTTTCTTATGGGAGCTGTTGTCGTTGAGGAAGAAGAACAAGAGAAATGTTCAACTTCAGTTCAACACAAACGACGTATCGTGCTCCATCGAAACCGACTGGAAGGCCACAATCAGTTATTCCAAGATTATTTTGCTGACGCACCAACCTATCCTCTTTATTATTTTCGTCAAAGGTTCAGAATGAGGCGTTCGTTATTTCTTCGAATCCACGACGCAGTCGTCGAACATGACAAGTACTTCGTCCAAAAGATGAATGGTGCTGGACAGTTATGACTATCTAGTCTTCAAAAGATTACTGCAGCTATGCGGATGCTCGCATATGGAGCATCCGCTGACTCCATTGACGACTACGTTCGGATCGGAAAAAGTACGTCGCTTGAGAGCGTGAAGAGGTTCGTTCAATCGATTATCAACATCTTTGGAGAGGAATACCTTCGTGCACCGACTAATGAAGACGTTGCACGCCTGCTCGAGGAAGGCTCACAACGAGGTTTTCCTGGTATGCTTGGGAGCATCGACTGCATGCACTGGACATGGAAGAACTATCCAACTACTTGGCAAGGTATGTATACTGGACATTTTCATGAACCCACAATTATTTTGGAGGCCGTAGCTAGCAAAGATCTTTGGATATGGCATGCCTTCTTTGGACTGCCGGTGTCTCACAATGACCTTAATGTTCTACATCGTTCACCGGTTTTCGCACAACTTGCGAAGGGAAGAGCTTCACTGTGAAACTATACTGTCAATGGCCACGAGTATAATATGGGATACTATCTCGCCGATGGGATTTACCCAGAGTGGTCCACATTAGTGAGGACTATTCCAGCACCTCGAGGAAACAAGCATAAGTACTTTGCTCAACAACAAGAAAGCGCAAGAAAAGATGTTGAGCGAGCTTTTGGCGTGTTGCAAGCTCGATTTGCGATTGTTCGTGGACCAGGACGTTTCTGGCAACCTTGTGTGCTGAAAGATATCATGACATCTTGTATCATAATGCATAACATGATCGTTGAAGATGAACGTGATTGTCAATTGGACAACAACTTTGACTTTACCGATTCGGTACCAGTCGTTGAACCTTCTCATGTGCAGACGGTGCCGCTAACTTTGTTCATCCAAAATCATCATCGGATCAGGAACACGCAAACACACAAATCACTTAAAAATGATTTGATCGAGCATCTGTGGCAGCTTAAGGGATCCATCGCCGAGGATTAAGTTTCTTTATGTCTAATGTAATTTCAGAAAAGGAGTTCAAGTTGTTGTACTACGCCAATTTCATTGTCAATAAATTAGTTGTTTTCATTCAATGCCAAAATTTTCAACTTCAAGTACAATCATAAATCTAATATAAGATAATATTTGATAATTAGGAAGAACTAATGAGGATGTGATGCGAGTACAATATATGATAATTAGGAAGAACCCTTGGACATCCACCTCTCCAATATCTCTGCCTGACGCATTTCAAAGTATTGTCATTGAACTGAATTGAGTGTTGAGAGATCGATCTTCATGATATCGTCATATTGTTTCTTCTGTTTTAGCTCTATTTTTTCTTTGTTGGTTTGCTTCATCCACGCGAAAGCCTCTCCCATAATGGACTTAGCGGACTCAGATTTGTCCACATTTTGTTTCCTCTTGAGTTTTGCCGCTTTCCTCCCTTCAGGCCTTGCTATAACATCATCCGAGTCAATGTTCAACTCGATGGGGGTCGCTGGCATGGAATTGTTTGGTGAGGAATCAGAGTTCGTGGTTCTTCTCGGCTGTGATCGAATCTTATTGTAAGTTTCCATTTGTTGGTTCCATTTTTGGTGATGACGCAACTCAACCCAGCAATGGTCAAACACGAATGGCTTACCATAAAGAGATTGGTATAATTCTTTTACTTCTGCAGTCTACACAAGAGTTAAATTTAGAATAATCAAACATATAAGTTAAATATTTACATAAAAACATATAAGTTAAATATTTACCTGGTTAATAATTCCCGTACCAGATCTTTGTCTTCCTTCAATCTGAGCAACACACCCGCGGAACTTGTTGACCGACAGTTGAATCGTTGACCAATGGTGCATCATTTGGTTTGGTGTGCGACTCGTTGGATCGGTAGAGTATTGGATAAAGTAGTCGTTAGCTCTGTACCAGAACTTATCTTTGTGTTGCCCTGTGCCTTGGATGGAGTCTTGGCTCGTGTTCAGCCAAGCAGACACAAGAAGCTTATCCTCGTGGACAGTCCAATTTTCGGACCGCGTGTAAGCCTTCTTCTTCTTTGTGGTCGGTGTTTCTTGGGATGACACTTGTTGTGTAACTCGATGGGATGACCTTCTTCTACGACTTCTGTATAGAACGGCGAGTATAAGGTCGATCCTTCACCGGTAAGGAGTGACGAATAGTAGTTGTTGTTCGCGGGAAAAATCGTAGCTTTCATTGATGATTCTATTGATTACTTTGTTAACAGTTTATCGGTTACAAAGATCCGGTCTTTTTATAAGATCCGGTTACAACAGAATCAAAAGAAAAGAAAATTACAACTTTCCTTATTTGTCGAACGAATCGCGAGATCCTGTTTTGCGGTCTCTCGCTTTTGTGGGTTCTTCGCCGGGGTTAATCCGTGGACCACCACACGATCTTGATCCGGTCGGATCTATACGGTATAGCGGGTGTTATCTCACGAAGGAAATAACAGCCGAGGGGATTATTTCACCAAGGAAATAATAGTCCGTAGTTATCGAAATCGACCAAGCGAAATCGAGACTCTTCTCGGGATCAAAGACCAAGCTTTGATCCGGAGGGAAACCGTGTAGATCTCAGATCTGATCTCTCTCGAACTCCTGCCTTATTTGGCGTGGATGATCGCCAAGAACCAGATATGGAAGTTGAGTCTTCAAAGCTCCGAAAGTTCAAGTCCAAATCTCAATCCGGCAGAGTTTCGGCTCCAAAATAGGTCGGGTGCTCGCCGTTACGTCCGTTGTCCGGTTTCACGGTTTATCCAAGTTTTATTGTTGATATAGACTCTGATTTGGTGTCTGGATCCTGATTTGGCAGTAAATTCGCCTCGTCGTTGATCTGAACTCTGATTTCGGAAGTGCGGATCCCGATTTGGCAGTAAATCCACCTTGGTGTTTGAGTTCGAATCCGTTCTATGTTTGGATGACTCATTGACTCCCCGAACCGTTGGCTTGATTCCGCACGCGAATGGATGCATTTCGTTGCTTGCGTGCGATTCGCTCGTTAATCCGCTTCGTTGCGTGTCACTTGGCTTTGGCGTTGTGGACTGACGCTCGTGTTTGGATATGTCGCCCGATGGTTCGTCGGTTTGTGCCGAGCTGTGCTAAGGGACCTATAAGCAATTTTATACGCCTACAGATACCCCCTCCAAAGTATTTCAGCCTCGTTCTTTTATAGAAGAGTCTGGAATACTTTGGATATGATTGTCCCAACCTTCAGTCGGTGTAACGGGACCTTGGAATGGCTTCTGTTCTTGATTCCTTCAATCCTTCAGGCTATTCGGTGCTTTGTCGAATGTCTGTAAGGGTTCCGGTGCTGCATTTATTGTCTGACCGTTGTCGGAATTTTGAACTTGAAGTCGATTCCTGATTTTCTGATCTTTAGCTCATGTTTGTTGGTTCAACATAGCACTGACCATCGATTGTTGGCGTTGAGTCTTTATTTGTGACGCGTTGTCCGGCGTAGTGTTGTTGAGTTATCCTTAAGAATATTTTTAGAAAAAATATTCTCTAGGAACTTCTCAACCAAAAATAGGGAATAGTTTATACTCGTATACCTTATTGGAGTATTTTTCATGTCCAAATGAGCCGAACCGGCCTAATAATGACCCAAAAAAGGCAGTAATTAGGCTCAAAAAAATCTTCCGACCCTTCCGAATGTGTGGGAGAGGAAAGAATAAACAAAGGACTGAACCATCGGTCGATTTGAAGTTGTTTCGATGCTCGGTTCAGCTTCAATTTGAATTCTGGTTCAAATCTGGTTCAAACTGGTTCAACCTGGTTCAAGACTGATTCAACCTGGTTCAAGGCTGGTTCAGGACTGGTTCAAGACTGGTTCAGACTGGTTCATGCTGGTCTGGTCTGGTTCAGTCTGGCTTGGCCTGGTTCAGCCTGGTTTGGCCTGGTTCAGTTCCTTTTGAACTGATTTAGACTGGTCTGGTCTGGTTCAACCTGGTCCGGTCTGGTTCAAGGCTGGTTCACCTCTAAAAAGCCTCTATTTTCCTCCTCTTTAGGGCCGGCCCCTCCTTTGTCCAATTTTCTTGATTTCTCTTCCCTCGTGCATCCTTTCTCCCTCAATTCCTCATATTTGTCTTAGATTCAGCCTTCCTTTGGATCTTAGACTGAAAAATCTCTCAAAAATCTTCATAAAATTTTTTCTCTCAGGCCCCTAGAGCACGTGGTTCGAGCCTCTTTTAAGATCTGATTTTTATTGGATCCACGAGCTTTTCCTCAGGTAAATCCTCCACAATTTTGGCTTATCTCATATTTAATTCAGTATATGAATTTGTGGGATTGCATATGAGGGTTAGGGTTATGATTTGGCGCCTCGAGCTCCTCTTTCAGGGGGGTAGAATTGCAATAAAAAGGGAAATTTTTTTTTCTGGATCTGATCCCCTAATTTATTTTGCAGATCATCATGTCGCGTGTCCCGAGAGGTCGCTCCCCTGCTACATCGGCTGATGGCGTGCTTCCCTCGTATGCTGGTGAGCTATTTTTGGCATATTTGGAAATTTACAAATTAGTCCTCTTTTTCCTGGAAATTTGCAAATTAGTCCTTTTTCCCCACGTTGTTCTCCTTGGTGAGGCAATCGGGAAGAGCATTGATTCTCCTTGGTGAGGATCGACGCTTTAAAGATAGGTTTTGCTTGGTCAAAACCATATCTTAAAATAAAGGGGGTGTTTTGACGATGCATTGTGCCTTATAAGGTAGGGATATATTGTCGATATACCCTATCTTATGAATGCATAATGTGGCCAAATCGTCTCACCCTTTATAAGGCAATGACTCTATCTTATCCATTTGTAGGATGAGTTCAATTTCCTTTTATAACTAGAATTAACAAACGTTTAATTGCTTGTTTTTAGTGGAGTATCCTTCCGGAGCATTTTCATCTCATGCGGTGAACGGACGTCGTGACGAGTATTATTCGACGTCCGATGATTTTTCACCCATTCCACTTACTTTTCAGTTTGTTCTGGGCACGTCGACAGAGGTTGCCCAAGTGGTGAAGGAAGGTGGACATCGAGCTCTTCGACAGTTGATTACAGATGCGCCTTTCGTGAAGGATGCCAGTTCTGTTCAGTCTCTCAGGAAGACTGACTTTTTATTTGGCGATTCTGTCAGAGATCCCGATGCAGTGTTCATTAATGCCGAGCAGTGGCTTCATAAGAATAGCGGTGGTTTCATATATTTGCCGAAGATTCCTCGACACCGCTCGTTGACTGAACTTAGGCGTCAGGCTGTTAAACGGGAGATGTCGTGGTGCTTGACGAAGGAGCATGAGAGCGTTCACTGTGGCTATATCACTCATCAGGCAGCTCCTGGTTCGAGCAGGAGTCATATCATTGGATTGCATCCTGGAGTACTGGGATTAGTTGCACCGCCGCGTAACGAGTTTCTTGCCTCTGCCTCTACTTTGAGGAATCGCCTCGCTGACTTAGGACGGGAGATGTCTGCGACGCGTCATAGATTTTATGGCTGGGTCCATTCTTTAGACAAGC